TCCTTTGTATTTCTTCGGTATCTGTTGTGATTTCTCCTCTCTCATTTCTAATTTTATTTATTTGAGACTTCTCTCTTTTTTTTAGTGAGTCTGGCTAAGGGTTTGTTGATTTTGTTAATTTTTTCGAAGAACCAACTCTTTGTTTCATTGATCCTTTCTACTGTCTTTTTTGTTTCAATATAATTTATTTCTGCTGTAATTCTTATTATTTCCCTCCTTCTACTGACTTTGGGCTTTGTTTGTTCTTATTTTTCCAGTTCTGTTAGGTCTCGTTTGAGGCTTATTATTCTTGCTTATTGAGGTGAGCCTGTATTGCAATGAATTTTCCCTCTTAGGACTGCCTTTGCTGTGTCCCAAATAATTTGGAACGGTGTGTTTTCATTTTCATTTGTCTCCCGATAATATTTGATTTCTTCTTTAATTTCTTCAATAATCCATTGTTTGTTCAGTAGCATGTTGTTTAGTCTCCACATTTTTGGCCCTTTCCCAGCTTCATTCTTGTAGTTGATTTCTAGTTTCATAGCATTGTGATCAGAAAAGATGCTTAATATTATTTCAACCCTCTTGAACTTATTGATGCTTGCTTTGTTTCCCAAGATATGGTCTATCCTTGAGAATGTTCCATGCACGCTTGAGAAGAATGTGTAACCCGCTGTTTTTGGATGAAGTGTCCTATATATATCTATTAGGTCCATCTGATCTAATTTTTCATTTAATTCTATTATTTCCTTGTTGATTTTCTGTCTGGATGATCTGTCCATTGGTGTTAATGGGGTGTTGAGGTCCCCTACTATTATTGTATTACTGTTGATGTCTCCTTATAGTTTTGTTAAGAGTTTCTTCACGAATTTTGGTGCTCCTGTGTTAGGTGCATGTATATTTATGACTGTTATGTCATCTTGGTGGAACGTCCCTTTTATCATTATATACTGCCCCCTTTGTCTTTTGTTACCTGTTTTGCTTTGAAGTCTACTTTGTCTGATATAAGTATGACAACACCTGCTTTCTTTTGTTCATTATTGGCTTGGAGTATTGTCTTCCACCCCTTCACTCTGAGTCTGTGTTTGTCTTTGGGGCTGAGGTGTGTTTCCTGGAGGCAGCATATTGTTGGATCTTGTTGTTTGATCCATCCTGCCACTCTGTGCCTTTTGATTGGAGAGTTCAATCCATTCACATTTAGTGTGATTATTGAAACGTGGGGGCCTACTTTTGCAATTTTATCACTTGATTTCCAGTTCTTTTGCATTTTGTCCTGATGGAGAGCTGTTACTTTGTATTATTCCTTCTGCTTATCTCCTTTGTTCTGGATTTTGTAACCCCTTTCCTTTTTTTGATTTTTCAGGAATGAGTTTCTTCCTGAGCAATTCTTGAAGAGGAGGTTTTGTGGTGATGAACTCCCTTAACTTTTGTTTATCTGGGAAAGTTTTTATTTCTCCATCGTATGTGAAGGATATTTTTGCTGGGTAGAGTATTCTTGGCTGCAAATTTTTGTCCTTCAGAGTTTTGAATATTTCATTCCAATCTCTTCTAGCCTGTAAGGTATCTTCTGAGAAATCTGTTGATAGCCTTATGGGGTTTCCTTTGTAAGTTATTTTCTTCTGCCTGGCTGCCCTTAGTATTTTCTCTTTGTTGTTGACTTTTGCTAGTTTCACTACTATATGTCTTGGGGTTGGTCTTCTTGCGTTAATAAAGCTTGGAGATCTATTGACTTCTGTGACATGAAGTTCCATCTCTCTTCCCAAGTTTGGAAAGTTCTCAGCTATTATTTCTTTGAACAGGCCTTCTGCCCCCTTCTCCCTCTCTTCTCCCTCTGGTATACGTATAATTCTTATGTTGCATCTCCTAATTGAGTCGGATAATTCTTGGAGAGTTTCTTCATTTCTTTTTAGTCTTAATTCTCTCTCCTCCTCTGCCTGCAGCATTTCTATATTCCTATCCTCCAAATTGCTAATTCTGTCCTCCATATTATTGACCCTACTGTTCAGAGAGTACAGATTTTTCTTAATCTCTTCCACTGTGTTCTTCATCTCCAGTATTTCTAATTGGTTCTTCTTTATGGCGTCAAGCTCTTTTGTGACATAGCTCCTGAAAGCATTGAGTTGTCTATCTGAATTCTCTTTTAGGTCATTGAGTGTTTTCATAATGGCAGTTTTGAAATCATCATCATTTAGGTTGTAGATTTCATTGTCTTTGGGATTGTTTTCTGGATGCTTATCATTTTCCTTCTGTTCTGGAGATTTAATATATTTTTTCATACTGCTTGATGGTGTGGTTTTGTGCCTCCGCCTAGAGATAGATTTAGTCACTGTTTCCACTTGTTGCAACTGGTGTGTGTGAGGGGGCAGCTGTTTAGACTGCCCCAACCAGGAACCCTGTCAGCTGTTACTGACTGGGTCTGGACCCCTCCTCGTAGTCACAGTGGTCCTGTGGGGTCCCTTGTCAGTTGTGGGGGCTATCAAGAGGGGGCCTCAGGCTGCTGGTGCCTACTGAGGCAGCCCACCTAGACACGCTCCCTCCTTGTGGTCTACAGCAGTGTTGTGGGCTTTCCCATCAGCCAGGAGCAGGATCACTTATAATCTCCGATTTGTCCCTAATGGAGCCCACCAGATCACACTTGTCACAGATCCACACTTGTCCACTATAAGTCCCAGCAGAGCTATGGATATCTTCTGCAGTCTGTCATTAGCTCACTTAGCTGTGCTGCTTTTGCCCCAGGGCCTTCCCGCCTTGTGATTGCCAGTCGGGACCTCTCCACTAGTGCTGTGCAGAGGCTTTCACTGAGGCTGCTGTAAGAACCTGGAGTTCCCCCGTGGGCTACATAGTCATTTTACTGGAGCTCTACTCTGCCCCACTTTACTCTCACAGGATCTCTGGGAGCCCCTTGCCTCATCTGGGACACAGCCAGAGTCCGTAGGCCTGGCGGTGGCTTGTAAGCTGCTGCCTTGTGGGGAATTCTGCTCTAGGGAGCTTCCTGGTGTTCCGAATGCTGTGCGGGGCCTCCCTACCAATGGCGAGCAGAGGCCCTCCCTGCTGGGGGGGTGTGGGACCCTAGAGCAACCCCCCGGGCTGCAGAGCTGGGTGTTGGAGCTCCACCCAGTCCCCAGATGCGTCCACGGGAAGTCCGGGCACCCCCTGTACCGACCCCTGCGCAGGAGACCCTGAGCCCAGCAGCAGCTTGCGGCCTGGAGCCACCCCAGGGGATCCGCCCACTGGGAGCTTTCCTTTTTCCTGGATTCTGGGCGTGGCCTCCCTGCTAATGGTGAGCAGAGGCTTTCCCTGCCAGGGAGATGCGGGACCCTGGAGCCTTACCCCGGGCCACAGAGCCAGGTGCTGGAGCTCCAAGCGTGTCCCCCAAGCACGTCTACGGGAAGTCTGGGTGCCCCTTGCACCGAGCCAAGTGCCAGAGACCGTAAACGCAGTGGCAGCTTGCAGTCTGGAGCCGCCCCAGGGGATCTGCCCACCGGGAGCCTCCCTTTATTCTGACTTCTGGGCGTGGCCTCCCTGCTAATGGCGAGCAGAGGCTTTCCCTGCCAGGGAGGTGCGGGACCCTGAAGCCTTCCCCTGCGTCACAGAGCCAGGCGCTGGAGCTCCAAACATGTCCCCAAGCATGTCTACAGGAAGTCAGGGTGTCCCCTGTACCGAGCCATGCACCGGAGACTGTGAGCTCAGTGGCAGCTTGCAGTCTAGTGCTGTGCTGGCCCACCAGGAGCTTCTCTTTGTTCTGGCTTCTGGGCGGGGCCTCCCTGCTAATGGCGAGTGGAAGCCTTCCCTGCCAGTGGGTGCAGGGCCCTGGGATTTCCCCCTGGGCCTAGGTGCGATCGTGGGGGGCTTGGGTAGCGGTGTTGTCACCTGTTTCCACCGTCGCTACGCTGGTGAGTGCACACTCCTGCCCTTGGTGTCTGGCGATGCTATGGTGGAGTCCATTGGAAGAGAGTGTCCTGCAGGAACTAGGCTGTCCGGGGGTCAGGGGTTGGGGGTCGGAGAGCTTTCACCTATTTCCACCTCCTCCCGGGGGGGAAGTCTGTCCGCATTCTGATGTGTAGTAGCACGAGACTTTTAGGCATCTTGAGATGCTATCTGGATATCCTTTGTTAATCAGTGAATGTCCAATTAATTGTAGATTTGACAGGGAGAGACAAAGAAGACCTCTCACTCTGCCATCTTGGTCCCACCTTCCAACATGTCACTTCTTATGAGTTGTGTGGACTTGGGCAAGTCATTCAACTTCTCTGAGCTTTTGTAGTAGATATATAGGCTAGAGATGGCAATACCAGATTGTAGGATGATTTTGGTGACTAATTAAGTAGGATAATTGATGTAAAAGCCTGAATGAAGCATAATATGTGGCCCATGGTAGACTTTTAAAAATGTTATTTCCTGTTTTAAATTAGATAGGCATCACTGTGGTGACTGAGGAAATCATTGGAATGACTTTTCGAAGGGCTCATATGCAAAGAAAACTGAGTCAATGCAGAGGATGAGCAGGCCGTGGAGAAGGGAGATGAGTGAGAGTAGGCAGAGGGAAGGTGGTCATGAGTACATAAGGAGCCTGACTCTGGTTTAGAACTGTCTCTGACTTGCTGTGTGATCTTGGGCACCTGTTTAAGTGCTCTGAGATGTCGTTTCGTCATCTGTGAAACATGGACGTTGAAATGAAACAATGCGTGCAAAGCTTGCTCTGGTGCTGGTTCATGAGAGTAGTTCACCTTATTGGTCAACACAACCACTGAGTGAAATGATGCCCCTGGCCTGGGCACCAGGACGGGGGAGAACAATGAGGAGGAGGTCTAGTCCTCTATCCCCTCCTCCACTAAGAGGTCTTAAGTTTGAAACCCAGAGACCAGGGTTTGGGGGCTCTGGAATTGGCCAATCCCCCCAGTTAGCTAGATAAGCTGAGGGTCTGGTCCGTTGGGCTGGGGAGATAACGGCCAGGACGGTTACTTCACAATCAGGGCCCGGAAGTAACCTCTCTGATACTTCTCCATTTGTAGGTCCCCTGGGAGAGCAGAGGAGAGGAAGGAATCCAGGCCTTTTCACCCTCTGAGTTACCTGTTCCTGGTTCCCTGAGAACTGGCGGACTGGGCTGGAATCTGAGGAAAACCAGGAGGTCACAGAGTTGAATCCTCCATCCCAACAAGTCCACTAGCTCTTGGCAGTGATATCCAGGTAAGTCACTGCTTAGCACTTGCTAGTCTCTCCTTGGACTGCACTGAATTTGGCTGGAGCTTGGTTGGTGGAAGTTTTGATGTTTTTGCATTTAATTTGATTTTTAAGAAAGATTGCATTGAAATATTATTTTCCTTGACTACTGAATTCTGTAGTGTTCCCTTCAATGTTGCACTCGAGATGAATGCATCACTCACTTCCCCCTAGTCCTGACCCTGTGGTGGTAGATGGCTGGAGGGAGATGGAGAGTGGGGTGGGGTGGTCCACCAATGTCTGAATGACTCTGCATGAAGCTTTCTATTCAAGCTGTTGCTGCCTTGCCAGAAGATGTGACCTGAGGTTGGACAAAATGTCATATTCTAGATCAGTGATACTCAGATGGGGCCATTTTGCTCCCCAGAGGACAGTTGGAAATGTATGGAGACAATTTTGATAGTGATGACTTGGAGAGGTGTTATTGGCATCTAATTGGTAGAGACTGGGGATGCAGCTAAACTTCTTATAATGTGCAGGGCAGCCCCCCAAGAAAGAATGGACTCCAAATAGTAAGAGTGCAAAGGTTGAGCATCTTGATCTAGATCCTCAGTGCAGAAGAAGGAGCATAGGTCTTTCACACATTAAAGGTGAGAAAGGGAGGGAGAGGGAGAAGGAGAGTGAGGAAAGGAAGGAGGGAGGGGAGACAGAGAGACAGAGGTTGTAGAGACAAAAAGACTTCAAAATCCTGGTTCACTTGCTCGCAGTGAATTCTCAGCCAGTCCCTTTCCCTCTTTGAATCTCACTTTTCATGTCTGTGAAGTAGGGATAATCACATGTCCTCATCGGAATGAGATGAAAGTGAAGATTCAGGGATGTGATGCATATAAAGTACTTGTTCTAGATAAGGGCCAAGGCAGACTGAGGCTCCCTTCACCTCCTCCCTCCTCCTCTCACGGTCTCCTGGATCCCTGGATTCTCCACTCCATTTGTTGGGATATTGACCAAAGGGAGGCTGCTCCTGGGGTTAAGGAGTATTGTTCAGACTGGGGCTATTTAGGGGTAATAATAACAACTTTGCCTTGACAATATACATCTGGGGTCTTCTCAAGCACACCAGGGTGGGTGGCAGTAGACCCCAGGAGGCAGGTCCCTGCAGTCATAGTAGACAATAGGGTTCAGGGAGGAGAGTATTGAGCAAACCCCTGATCAGCTCCAATGCCCCGCACCCCACCCTGAGTCTCTTCCCACTTCCCCAAAAGCCCAGTATAAGGGCTGCCTCTGGGGCCCAGCAGCCAGAGACACTGGCAACAGAGCCTCAGACTCTCAGAAGGTGAGTGCTCCCCTGGCTGCCCATGGAGGAGTGTTCCAGGGCTTGGGAGGAAGCAGGACCCTATCTAGCAAACACCTCAGAGGTCTGTCCTTCAGACCATAACGGCTACTCTCCTTCCCTCTTCTTCTCCACTCTGAGTGAAATTGGCCCTGGTCCTGAGCAGACCTGTTCTTACAGGGTCTGGGCTAAGTGTTGTTCCAGTGAGCAGTGATGGAGTTCTCAGGAAAAAAGGGACTTTTGACCTTGAGCCGACACCCTCATGTCCTTTCCCTGATTCTGCAGCTCAGGGTCTGTTCATTGGACGAGAAGCAAGCTTTCTACTTTGTCCTTTAATAAACAAGTTAAACAAACTTTCCATCTCTGCTATGTGCCAGGGGCTGTGTAGACACACTGGACAACCCAGGGAGGCAAAGTGCAGCTGTGTCCCTGTCACAAGACTGAGTAGATATGAAATGCCCTCTGCTCCTGCCCCTTCTCCTGCTGGGGACAGTTGCTGCTCTTCATCTGGGTAAGTCCTCCACTTCTCGTCTCGTCTATATTTCTTTCTCTTCTTTTCTGCAACGTTTTTGCATTGGTGGGGCCGAGGCCACAGCCTCCCCTCTTCAGTTGACCCAGCTCATCTCTGTTAAGATTTCTTCAGGACTCACACTGTGACCTGAACTTTCTATCAGGGCTCCTTTACAAAGAAAAACAACCCACTTGTGTAGGTGAAGGCCTTCTCACAGGTGCTTCCTCCCACCCCCAAAATACACACCTGTGGTGTCAACCAGAAGTCAGGTTCTCATCCCTTTGGGCATATGACCCAAGAGTTCTAGCCTCACTCAATGCCTCCAAGATTGTTAAAGTTTTGGCGCCTGGTGGCGTCCATAGGAAGGCTTGAGTGGGATCAGAGCTGTCGATTGTCCTGGAAGAAAGGGACCTCCGCCCCCGCCCCCCACTGAAGGCAAGTTACCTCTTCTTTTCAGAGAATGATGACCCCAATTTGGACATCCGAAAGACACAGGCAGACCTGATCCAGGATGTAGAAGGTTCAGGGGTGCAGGAGGGAGATTTGGCCCTGACAGAGGAGTTGATTCAGTCAGAAGGAGAGGAGGCTGAGGCTTCCACCAATCAAGACACCTTTGAGGATGAACAGGCCATGGAGTTGCACCCAGCTGCCCTAGGTGAAGACTTGCAGTGCCCCAGGGAAGAGGACACAGTTCAATTGTCTGGTCATCCTGGGTGCAAGGCCCGCAGCTACTTCTTGGTGCGAACTCCTATGACGTTTAGTGACGCTGAGGTGAGCGGCAGCAAAGCTACTGTAGAGGATCTGGTGGAGAAGAAGAGAGTGGATTCAAACTCCTGTTCCATACACATTTAGACTAGTGGTTATCAAAGCCTAATGTGCACCAGAATCTCCAAGCGATATTAAATCTTTTAAAAATCAGATTTCTGGGCTCCATCCCCAAAATTTCTGATTTAGCAAGTCTGTGATGGGGCCTAAGAGTTTGCCTTTATACCACATTCCCAGGTGATGATGATATTGTTGCCTGGAGACTGCACTTTGAGAACCACTTATTTGGACAAAGGCTTTGGTATTAGATAGACCTGTGTTCAATCCTGGCTCTGCCTGTCAATGGCTGTGTTACTTCACTTTTCAGAGCTTCAGTATCTTCATTTGTAAAAGTGGAGACATATAGTTCCAAGCTCTTAGACTTCTGGTGAAGTTTCAATGAGATAATACATGGAAAGTATTTAGAATAGTCCCTGGGTCATTGTAAACTCTCAATAAATGGGGGCTATAATGATTCTGAGTATTATTATTTCCTGCAAGAAGTTCCTGACAGCAGTAAAAGGAGCAAGCGATGAGATTGAGTAGGGCAAGTAGGTCCCTGATTTATGAACTGAAAAGGGATGTAGTGCTCTCTGCTGGAGACTCATGGACTTGAGTAAAAAGAGAGTGAATTCTTTACACCACTTCTTGTCTCTGCAGAATGTCTGCAGGAGGAGCTACCGAGGCCACCTTGTCTCCATACACCGCAACATCTTATACTATCTCCTCCAGCGCTTGCTCAGGGGTATCGACGAAGGTGCGGTCTGGATTGGAGGCTTCACGATGGGCTTGGTAAGTGAGGGGCCAACTCCCAGGTACAGGAAGTTTTTCTGCTGGCCTCAAGGGTACACAGGCCGGCCTCAAGTCTTATCCCAGCAGCTGAGGTGACCTTAGGCAGGTGGGGATGAGCTGGAGCTGGCTTGTACTGGTTCAGGAGAACCAGTGACTATGCACATCTCTTCCCAACTCCATGTTCAATGACTTCATGCTTGTAGCTTGAAATCTCCCATGGTGGATGAATTTACACCAAGGAAATTAGCAACTGCTACTAGTCCCTCTGCCTTCTCACCTTCCCCCAGAGATGGTTTTCAAACATTTATCAGCACACCACTGGCGTCATGAGATAGGGTCACATCTTGGAAACCTTGGCCCATCTTGGTCACTTCCTAGCTGAATGACTTCCTTCAGCCTCAGTTGCCTCATGTCTAAAATGGAGTCCTTGTTCTGTTAGAGTGGCTCTGGTATTGTGGATGAATAAGTACCATGACATTTGCTACTCAAGGGTGGTCCATGAAGCAGTAGTGTCAGCATCCCTTGGTAACTTGCTTGAAATGCACAATCTTGGGCCGCACCCCAGACCTCCTGAATCAGAATCTGAATTTCAACAAGATCCCCAGGTGTTTTGTATGCACAATGAAGTTTGAGAAGCCTAGTCTGTGTGATGATGCCATTGCCTGCACTCAGGGATGGATCTCTAGGGTGTCTGGCTTCTAGCCGGGTGAACAGTGAGAAGAGATTATACATATAGTGAGTGTCCAGAAAGGGATGCTTGGTGCTCGGTGGGCATTCTCTGGAGCCCGTGATTGTCTCTGTCTTCCTGGATGTCTGCCCTCTGATGCAGCCTATCCCTTCTCTAGTTGTGGCGCAGGAGATTTCACTGGACTGATGGGAGCTCCTGGGATTATGAAAACTGGGCCCCAGGGGAGCCTGGAAATGGGAGAGGTGGCTGTGTTGCTCTAAGCAGCAGAGGTGAGGGGGACTGGGAAAGGGGAAGGGGGGCAATGTGGACTCTTACATACTGTCCTTTCGAGCTGTCTCAAACACTTCCCGAAACTCACACCCTCCCCTCAACTGGAGAGCCAATGTCCTCTCTGTGAGAAGGGCTGAGATGTAGGGACAGATTCCTCAAAGCAAAACCAGGTGATGGGGTGTCCTGTGTGGGGGTTAGATGCGGGCTTTCCATCTTTTGGCCTGGGGTGGGGGGACGTCCTTTCCCTCTCCTGATATGAGGGCGACAGATGAGAATAGCAGATGTGAATTTAAGTGTGGATGAGGGACTAAGGAAAGATGTGGGAATTAGGGATGGCTGACAGACAGTTCTCCAGCTTCCAACAGCATGGATGAGGGATGTGAGGGAGCCTAGTACAATGGCTAAGACCATAGGCTTTGGAGTAAGACTGCTGCGGTTCACATCCTGGCTCTGCCACTGGCCTGCTGAGACACAGACAAGTTATTAACCCACTAAGCCTCAGTTTCCTCATCTGGGAAATGGGGATGAGCTAGCACCCATCTCTTGGAGTCATTGTGAAGATGAAAGCACTCAATCACCCTGCTTCCTTCGCTGTGGGAGCTCAAGAAACGTGAGCTGGTAGGGATGTGTAGGCAACATATGGCTGACTGATCACAGCCACAGCAGGTGAGGGAGGGTAAGAGGTGCCTGAGGAGGGAAGGAGGGAGTCACAAGCCCACTCAGATGGGCAGCTGACCTCACTGTGCTCTCTACTGCCAGATGGTCGCTGGCGACTAGCCCCTTGTAGCAGGCGTCTGCCCTTCATCTGCTCCTTCTAAGCCGGTGACACGGAGACCCTGCCTTGAAGCCTCCTCCCTTCACAGCTTCCCGTCTGACCCCTGGACACTGGGCTTGTCCCCTTGTCCCTCCTGGCAATAAAATCAGACTTGCCACAGCATCTTCTGACTCGTTCCTTCACTGCTCACTTTGGAGCACTCCCTGGAGTTGGAAACGCCTGCAAGCCATCACTCCCGCAGGGTGGAGCTTTGAGGAAAGTAAAAGGTGGTGGAGTAGGGCTCCAGGTAGGGGTGGGTGGGGGTGTTGAGGTGTTCGGCTGCAGCGCCACCTGGGGGCGGAGCATGGACTCCGGAGTACCCTTCTCAGCCCTGGCCTCGAGATTCCCCCCCTCCCCCACCAGGCTCTGGGGGAAGATCCCATTCGGTGGGGGGTGTGGAACTGGCCCTCTTGGTTTTTTTGGGTTCAGTTTGGGCGGTGGGGTTGGGTGGGAGTGGGGTGGCTTTCCAAAACGGAGCTGAGCTTGCTGAATCAAGGATTGAGGTGGAGCAGTGAGGTGCTATCTGGATAAGCATGTTGGGGGGAGGAGAAAGTAGTCTCGTCTACTTGTCTCTAGGCAGCCTGTTCCTCTATTCCTCTGTCTTGTTGATCTCAGATACCGGCCCCTGTTTTCCATTCTTCCAGCCACTGTGGGTGAATTGAAAGGCCACAACTTCTTCTGAGACCTGTTCCCCACTCCATTCCCAGGAGGGTGGCTGTCCTTCCCTCTCCCCCATCTGCAGCCTACCTCCCTAAAGGGGCCACATTCTCAAGATGGAGGTGCCTCCCAGCAGGAGGGCCTTGGGGCCAGTCAGGGTATCTGGCAGCCTGTGGCTCCCATGCTGTGTCTACAGCCCCAGGCCTCAGCTTCTCTCCCTCACCCCGTGTTCTCTGACCCAGGTGCCATTGAGAGAGAGCACTGTTGCTGCTCTTTACCTTGTTCGAGGGAGGATGCTTGGCTCCTGGTAGGATCTGGAGTTGCTGAAGCAGAAGTTCAGACCTGAGACTGGGTATTAAGAGGGCAGACAGCCTTGGGTTGTGGGGAGAGAATGGGGGGGCACTCTGAGACAGAAATACTTCTTTGGGTGTCGTTCTACATGGGGCACAGGGAGAAGGTGCAAATATTTCTGGAGATGCACGTGCACATGCATGTATATGTATTTGGGTGTGTAAGCGAGTCACTCTTTGTATACCTGTGTGTATCTGTGTATGTGTGAATCTGTACATTTAAATGTGCATAAATCTTTGAGTCAGTGTGTATTTGTGTGTTGTTTGAGGTTGTACATTTTGTACATCTCTGTGTGTTTATGGATAGGCTTGTGTGTCTGTGGACACCTATGAAGCTCTGCACCATAAGATGCCTGAATCTGTGTGTGCACGCATGTGTGTACTTGTGTGCCTTTGGCCAGTATGTTTTGGGGTGTGTATACATGTTAGTTTGTGTCTGAGCACACCTGTGTACAGGTCTACGTTTGTGTGTGAGCACGTGTATGCCTGTCGAGGCATCTGATGGGATGTGGAGTTTCAGGAACTAAAAGAACGGTCTCCCAGATGTGCTTTCTTTCTAAAGGTTCTGGAGGTGGTGGAACAGGACAGGGTGGAAAACCCCAGGGGAGGCGGGTGGCGAAGAAGCAGCAGGGCTGAGTTCCCTGAATATGAGCTGTCCTCTGACAATGGGACCACGGGTCTTGGGCTTGCCATGGATCTCACCAATGCTGGACCTCAGGGACTGCTTCTGCTGAAGAGGCCTGTTCTCCACAGAGGGGTCTCTCCGTCCACCCAGCCCAGGGGATGAATCATGATTGATCTAAGCCAACTGAGGCAGTTGCTTTCCTCCTTGCTAATGAGAGTAGAGGTGGGCATGTTCTCCTGTCCTTGTTAATGAGGTGAATGGGTTGTATTCATGAGGACTTTAAGGGTATATCTCCCCTTGCTGGAAGATGAGAGCAGTGCAAAATGAAAGCCTTCCTCCTTGGTTCCGCTTTCCACCCTTCCTCTATGAATGTTGTGGCAACTATTTGAATGTTTGAATATAGGTGGAGCTGTGACAGCCATTCTGTGATTATGAGGCAACAAGCTGGAGGACAAAAGCTAGCAAACTAAGAATGAATGAGTGAAAGAAATAAAAGAATATGAGTCCTTGACACCCCAAGCAATTAATTAGCTTCCAGGGTGGAAGGCAACAGTCTGTACCAAGACTCATTCTTAGAAACTGGGGTTCCAGCTCCTGCTTCTTACCCGGACTTTTCTTGGGTGTGGTAAAATATATAGAATAAAATTTACCATCTTAAACATTTTTAAGTGTATGGCTCAGTGGCATTAAGTTCATCATATTGTTAGGCAAGCAACACCACCATCCATCTCCAGATTGAACTCTTTTCAATCTCGTGTAACTGAAACTCTGTCCTCATTAAACACTAACTCACCAGTATCCCACCCCACCCAGCTCCTGGCAACCACCCTTCTACTTTCTGTCTCTGTGAATTTGGCTACTCTAGGGAGCTCATCCAAATGGAATCACGTAATAGTTAGGCTTCTATAACTGGTTTATTTCACTTAGCATGATGTCCTCAAGGTACATCCATGTTATTGCATGTGTCAGAATTTCCTTACCTTTTTTTTTTTGGTGAGGAAGAGTGTCCCTGAGCTAGCATCTGTGCCAGTCTTCCTCTATTTTGTATGTGGGACGCCACAGCAACATGGCTTGATGAGCACTGTGCACGCCCACGCCCGTGATCTGAACCCACGAACCCCAGGCTGCCATAGCAGAGCATGTGAACTTAAGCACCATGCCACTGGGCTGGCCCCTACACTGACTTTTTTCCCTCTGCTATCTGCAGCTCCTTTATGAACAGGGCATCAGCCTCAGGGCCTCCTTCCTCTTCTTCTCAGTCTTCAGTGTCTGGCATGTTGGGCGCACTTTCCTCCTTCTGCCCCGGGGGCACATCCCCTACGCGCTGCCCCCCAACTACTGCTATGGGTAAGGACTATGATCTAGCGATTGTGAGCCAGAGCCCCTCATGTGACCTGGGACGGAAGCAGGGGATGGGAAAGTCGTGGTCACAGTAGGGCAGAGGAAACCTGTCACAGCAGAGGAAGACCAGAATGGGTGTGTCAGTTGCCAATTGCTGCATAACAGACACCCCAGAACTCAGTGGCTTGAAACCTTAAGCATTTATTATTTTTCCTGGGTGTATGGGTAGCTGACGAGTTCTACTGATCAGGGACAGACTCGAATGATCTTGACAGAGCTCATTCTTGCCTCTGATCATCTAGTGAGCTAGCTCGGGGCTGGCTTGTCTAGGATGACCTCATTCACACGAGTTTTCTCTGGAGGTCATTGGGGGTAACATGGATGTCTGGGACACCTGGCTCTCATCTTCTGGCAGGCTGGCTTGGGCTTGTCCATGTGGTGGTTCCAGGGTTCCAAGAGAGAGAGTGCAGAAATGCACAAGCTTTCTTAAAGTTCAGGGCTTTAATCGGCAAAGCATCATTTCTGCTGCGTTCTCTTGGCTGAGGCAGCTGACAGGACCCGCTGCAGATTCAGGGGATGGGGAAATAGTCAGAGCTGCAAAATTCCATCGCAAAGAGTGGAGAACAGAGGAAGTGAAGAACTGTGGCCCTTTTTGCAGCTCTTCCCCACAAGCAGTAGAGGGAGAGCTTTCATTTGCTGCTGACTTACTATCTGCCAGCTCCCAAGTGCTCTCTGATTTCATCTCACCATGATCCTCTCAGATAGATAGCCTTATCTCCATTTTCCAAATGGGAACAATGGGGGTTGGAAGGGTTATATATGAGTCGTGTTGCCACAGCCAGGAAGAACAAGAGCTGGGATGTGAACTCAGCCTCTCCTCCTCTGCCCACGCCTCCGGTGGTTCCCAAACTTTGCTGGGTATCAGAATCACAGAATCACTCGGAGATCTTCAAAAAATCTGGAAGCCTGGCTGCCACTCCCAGACACTCTGATTGAACTGGTCTGGCTGTGACTTGGGCTTCGGGGTTGTTAAGAGGTGATTTCACTGTGCTGTGAAACGGGGGATCCCCTGCACTATTCCCTCCAGCCTGAGACTCAGGCTCAGCTCACAGCCCTTGGGCTGGGCTGAGGGGGCTTCCATTTCCACATCCTGTGCTCTGGGCAGGACAGCAGGGAGGAGGAGAAGAAGACAGTGGAGTCCAAAGAACTGGAGGGACAGTCGGAGTTCGTTTCGCCAAAGGAAGGTGAGCCCTGTTGGTGAACCCAGTTCCCCTTCAGAACCTGGTCTTCGTGGAGGTCGAGCTGGTCCCTCACCTCCAGAGCTCCCCTAGAGACTCAATCAGGAAAGGTCAGGTGGAGAAAGGACCTGTGGGGTCTTCTCAACCCCCTCACTTTATACAAGGTCCAGACAGGGGCAAGACTTTTGTTTCTTTTCTGCTTTCTGTTCCTCTTTTCTTTCTCTCATGTTATTACCACACTACCCCCTGAATTCCATCTTCCATCATTTTCCTTCCTGTCCCCCGACTTTTCAGTCCTAAGTCTGCCTTATTTGTCCCCATTTCTGCAGGTCTCCTGGGTCTGCCCTCTCACTGTTCCATTTCCATCACCACCTCTGTTGCTTCCTCATCTCTTGGGTCTTTGGTTACAAACATCATAAACCACTGCTGGCTGAGGTAGAAACAAGAACGGGATTCTGGGAAGCTCACAAAATCAAGGGAAAATTGAACTTTCTGGACTCCAGGATGAGCAGAACCAGGATACGCCTCGGGGTCCCAGTCAAAAGTTACAGCCAGTCTGCCTCTCTAGGGAGAATGATCGGATTGGGCGACCTTGGCTGAGGAACAGAACGCTTAATTCACAGGCCCATCAGGACCATGATGAAAAGGGCAGGGGTATATTTCCAGAAGAAACCAGGGTCCTGGTACCGAAAGAGAGGGGATGCAGAGCAGCTGAGACAACAGCTGTCAGCCACTAACCCTCATCTCATGTCTAACTTTCTCCTTTCCTTCTCTTTTTTTGCACCATCCTGGCTGAGAAAGATCAGGAAAGTGTTAGTGCAAGAAGTGTCATTGAACTCAAACTGTGAAAGACAGATCAGATTTCAGTCGATGAGAAGAACATGGGGAAGGTCATTCAAGGTGGTAGGGCCA